GTGCACTTCCTTCATTCATGAAATCAATGGGCAATAAGCAATGTCCATTTCTGGTCTTTATAGAAGTCATTTGCTGCAAGGATGAGATTAACTTAGCTTCTCCATGTAGATATCAAATAGATGGTCTTAAAAACCACACAAGCCTCCTCTGCCAACAACCCCAAATAAACCAGTGTATGTTTTCCAGTACAAGCTACATAAAATCCTAGGACAGGTTTTGTCCTCTCTCTAAGGAGGTTACGCTGACCATGGGCAGGGAGGTTGTCTGTAGAGTGCTGCACTGCTCCTGCTGCACACCCTGGCAAATCAGGGGCTCATTAGGGCTGTGTTGGGGGTCTGACCTGGGGTAGGTCACAGCAGCTGACCTCTGTCTCCTGGTTTCTGTTCATGGGGGTCTTACATGCAGAGCTCTTGCACTGGCAGCTTGGAGGGCACTGCTGCACCAAGCCACCATGCATGGCACGAGCACCCCATCCCTCCTGCCCAGGACACGGGGCTCTGTGTGCAGGCTGGTGCCCAGGCAAGCTAAGGAGCTACCAGAGGGGCCTCTTGAGCACAAAGGGTGACAGCTTGAGTTATAGCCCTGAGTCAGGGAGCATGAAGAAAGCTGGAAATGATTATGGAGCGTACGGGGGAGCTTGAGTAGCAGAGAGACTGCAGAAACCATGCTAATCCCTAGGGAACTCAAACCGTATGATTTACATGGGTTTAAGCCTGAACTTACCTTTGCAGTCATGCTCTTGGAAGAGAGCTTACTTAAAACAGAGGGGATACATAAATCTCTGGGGCTAAAAGAGAGGCTGAATGGAGTCAGGTTTATAGGCCAGAGATTTGCATGCTTTCAAAAGCATGCAGCCTTCCTTCGGGCAGGCATGGGGGTAGGAGAGGGGCAGACAAACCCAGCAGCTTTGTCCTGCACTGGTGTGAGCACTGCGTGTTGGGATGTGAGTGCAACTGCAAGGACCACAGGGCACATGGTGAGGTGATACTTGGTGATGATCAATGGGAAGTGGTGTGAGTGGCTGTTACAGCCTCCTGGAGACAGAGTTATTCTGGATGCAAATGCTTGGGGGAGCTTTGTGAAGGTTCCTGCATAAAACTGAGACTTGGTTCTTCTGGGTTTTGTTGGGTTTTCTTTTCTGGTATTGTCAAAAAGAGAAAAGATTCGCACGTCCCCATTGCCAGATCACCGGGGCGACTAAAGAAAGTGAACTAAAAATGCATGCAAAGCACAATGTGCACCTTCCAGCTTCTGAAACAAAGGAAGTGGGGGTCCCAGACACTACAGCTTTCTTCACTGGCCAGCTCTGACTCACCCTGCTTCTGGAGAACTCATGAGACATAGTGAAACCCCATGGTCTGAAGCTGTTTACAATGTGCTGGAAGGCATCAGTCCAACTGACTTAATAATGGGGTTTGGTACTGAGACACACTCAGCTGTGCAGCCCGAGACAGAAAACCTGAGCTCTGTGGGTGGAGCGAAGCGAGAAGCTGCATCGAGCTACACAAGCCACATCAGGCCTGGGACTAGTGCTGGGCAGGAAAAAGATGTCCAGTGATCCTCAGTCACACCTTTCCTTGAAGGTGGCAGAAAACTGGCACTGGGCTGATACTTGTTTTTTCCCTCTGATTACATTATTTTCAGATATATATGAACAAAAGGCGGGGGGACACAATCCAGTGGCTTTTCACCTCAACCGAATGCTGTGGTTTAGGATGAAATAGTTGCAACGCTTGCATCCACATGAGTAGGAGAGGACGCCTCCCTGTAGTATGTTGGAGGGGCAGAAACCTGCTGGAGTTACTTCCATGCTGGTTGTATCTTCTGTGGACAAGGGACGGTGGAGCTGGTGCCTGCAGCTGTAATGAGAGTCCCTCTGGCGATCAGGCTACTTGTGTATGCATGCCCCTGCCCTACGTGTGCATAGCTGCTGCACTTGTGCCAAGCTACTCTGCAATGGAGGTCAAGTTTTATTCTATCATGCAGCATTTTAATGGCCTTTGGATATGTTTGTAAGCCTGAGCTTGTGCCTTGATGAAACTTTAGACAGGCAATTAGACAGGAGTGTTATTTATTCATGGCAGGTGGAATGGAATCATTCCTGGTTTCTTGTTAATCCTGCCAGAATGGTAAATGAAAAAAATGGACTTTCTCTTCTGGTTCGTTCTGTAGATCCCCAAAAAAGAAAACATCTCAGCAGTAAGCGTCTTATTAACAGACAGCATCCGCAGAAGGAAGAACAATGTGTTCTGGCCCAAACTCACAGCTGTGGCCACCAGCTGTGACATCCCTGTTACTCCAGCTCTGCCTTTACTATGTTATTTCAGTGGTAGCTTTAAAGAAGAGAGAGAAGACCCCACAGAGAGTCTGGCTTAGAAAAACCTGCTGCAACCTACAGGAAACCTCTTGGGTCTGAGAAGGACTTCAGCAGCCCAGGGGATAACCCTACACTTGGATCCAGGGCCCTTGCAGCAAGCCAGGGAATGCTGGAAAGCCGGGGGATCTGGCAAGTGAAGACGCATTTGGTAGCAGAAATGAAGTGCGTGCCTTCCAATCACACAAGTTATATAAAGCCTTTGGCCAGACTGGAGACATCCCATTGGAGATCATTACTACTCTTTCTTTAACTCGGGTCTTTCAGACTTAAGTTTGATTTTATACACTGGGAAGTGTTCAAAGGCCTTTGCATGGATCTTTTATGGCTGTTTCCCAAACCTGCTCCTCAGGTTGTCTGTGACTGCTGGGGGGTTGTGCTTTAAGTAGCTCTTTCCAGCATTGTTCTTCTTCGAAGCAAGAACTGTGTAGACCAACTGGCACCTACTGAATATGGGAACATCTTACTATCTGCTGATGATTTCCCTAACCTACTCCACTGCTTTGTCCACATGCAGACTTTCTGCTGGGGACCTAGTTTAAAGCAGGTATCAGGCAGTTCTGCTTTACTGGGGTCTCTACCCTGGTAGCTTGGCATCTTGGGCTGAGATGAAACGATTTTCTGCACCCTTTGGATTACAGCTGCTCTTTACAGAGTTTGGGAGTTGTTCATGAGCTGGTCTTTGAACATGCCTCGAATAGCACATAAATAAATAAGAAAAAACCCCATTCCCCTCACCTCCACCCCAATAAAACCTGTTGTGTACAGCTTTCTCTTACATAACCCATCTGACTCCAAGAACAAATGTCCCTAATTTCTTCTGGATGGTAGGCTTTGTAGAGATTTAAAGGGCAATTTCTCTCTCTTTTCCTTTAGCTCTCACAAAGTATTACAATAAGGAACTGCAGTGACAGATGATACTTAAAGGCATGGTTTAGAAGTGATTCATCTGTGAAACATGGTGTAGCATATTTTATTGTATTTTAGCTAGTAAAAGCTGCGCGTTTTAGCCCAGCTATATCATACTGCATGGTAAATTATATTTATAGGAATCCCAGCCACCATGCTGAAAATAAGTACCCTCTATACAAGAGTTAATGCAGTAGATTTGTACTTAGACATGTATTTGTAAAATATTTAAGCTGCATGAAAAGGGCATCTGTAGGAAGATATGATTACAGGATCACGTAAGTGCAGCACAGTGCTGTCATATTTTAAGGTTAAAGAGCCGTAATTAGGCATTGGCGGCTGTCACTGCATGCATGGAGGGAGGGAAGCCCTTTCAAAGGCTAAGTGGGGCAGGAGAGAATGGGGAACAGCCTGAGTCTTGCATCTGCTGCTCCAGCTGCAAGGCGGCCCCAGACTGAAGGATGGTGTTTTTACTGCTTCTGGGGCCCTCCTATATCGTCTTCTTATGGCAGGAGAAAAAAAAGCTATGGGAAATGCTTTCTTGCGGTTCATGCTTTATGCCTGCTACTATCCAGGCAGGAAAGCACAGATGAACAGGAGATGCTCCCCTCAACTTTATAGCAGTAACTTGTCATTTCAGGGCTCCTACTGCTTTCCATACGCACAAAGCAGTTTCCACAAGCTTTCCAACGTATCTGGGCAGTGCCTTGTAGCCTCTTGGCACAAAGCAGTTCGGTCAGCGAGTGCAAAAGCTTTCAGGAAAGCAGAAAACCAGGGTATTGAACCTTACTGCAGAGCAGCTGATTTAGGCTTGCAGAAAAAAACACACATCTCTGTACCGTGACCACAAAGCTCTACTGAGTCTTAAGCAAGCCCATCTTCCTTAGACATGAGACTTACTTATTTTCACAGCACTAGCAGTTTTACAGCCACAAAGAAAGGAGGATGTGTTCAGGTACTACAGGACAAGGTAAAGGATAGGGAATTTTTGATTGCTGATGCCTATTCCTAAATCACACACAGTCTAAATAAGCTCCAAATCACTGAAGCATTTTAGCAGCCTTCCGCTGACTTCACTGAGCTCAAAGTGCATGTTTGAACTTAAGTGCATGCTTGAGTTTTGCTGAATCATACAGCAAATAAAGTATGCAGAGCTGGTCTTTAATATAACTTCATGTGAAAACTACACACTTCCCGCAAAGCCTACTTCAAGTTAATTAATGGGCATTAAGGACTCACATTTTCCTAGCAAAGAAGGGCCCCAAGGGATCGCAGCAATTTATGTTCATACCCTGAACGATACCAACACAACCTTCCCATGGAGACAAAGCCCCAAGCACTCCCTCTGTGATAACCAAGCACTTACATTTGATGGATGGGTTTCAGGTCTCCTGACACCACATGGGTCAGGAGGGAGGACCTGGCCTCTGACCCGTCCCTTTCATCCCTTCTGGCTGGAAGCGTGCCCATTGCCTCACTGTGTTTGTTGGGGCTGAGGAGTGTCTGCAGCCTGGGGAAGCGAGGAAGGGAGCGGAGGGTCTGCCTTCTTGAACTGAAGTTCCCCACTTTTTACCCACTGGCACCAACTCCCATTGCTGTTGTTACAACCCTCTCCATGAGCCTGACGAAACAAGGCTGTGATCTGTATCCATGGCCATGCTAACCTCGGGAAACCCTGGCTGCTAATTCATCGCAGGAGCAGAGCCACATGAATCAGAGCAGTTGGGTGGGCCAGAGGGAAGCAGGCTGAGTGCCACTGGGACTGCCAGCGCTATGGCAAGGCACCCCAGGGCTTCCTTAAGGTGGGACCGTCCCAGTGTAGCCCCTGCCGCAGGAGGGAAGGGAGTATTCCATCAGGAAATGAAGACACAGTTCCCAAAGTGCGGGGAGCACAGCGGAAGCTCAGTGTTGCAATGCAATTCTCTTGATTACCGCTTTGGTGTCCCAGCTTTGTTTGTTTGTTTGAAGAAATGAACCTTGGCAGCTGCAGGCTGCACAGCTCAGTGCTTTCAAGGAAGCTGGAGGGAGCACCGGGCTGGAAAGACCTCTTTCATCAGCAGGTGTGATCCCATGTGTCCCAGGCAGCCATTCCTATCGATTTATCAAGCTCCATCTTAAAACTACATAGATTGGCTAAGGGGTCTTTTTGTCCTTGATTTTTACCCCCCACTAGTGCTCTCCCAGGTCTGTTCCAGAAGCTTGCTCTGCTGGTGAGAAACTGTTTAACTTCCACTCAGGCTTATGTCAACATTGTCTGGTAGCTGTTTCCCTTCTTTCTATTTATCCTCCCAGGAATCATCGCTCAGCCCCATTCCCAGCCCTGTGTGGTCCTCCTTCAGCTGGAAAAGCAAGGGAAAAGGAGGATGTTGTTATGGGAAGCACTGGAGCAATAAAATTGGTGGTGCGGTAAGGTGTGTTTGAGGAGTGAGCCCAGCAAGGATGCACACTCAGAGCGCAGGGCTGGGGGAGAGGGTTGTCTGAAGGAACAGTCCTGTGTCCTCACCAGGTGAAGCCACCTCACACTTAGCCTTGAACCAACCATTTCCACAAAGGGGCTAAGAATGTGCTGCTGCTGTGAGGAGCAGTAAGACAAGGTTGGTCACACTGTGATACACTCTTTCATGAGGATGTGGAGTGCTTGAGCTGGACTTGAAGCACAGAATTATGTTCACCAGTTGTTAGCTCTTTGGCCTGGGGAAAGCCACATTTCAGCCTCTTCGTCCCCATCTGTGAAAAACAGGATAATAATAGGCAGTCACCTCTCCCCCGGGTATTGCGAGGGTCAACGTCTGTAAAGGGTGTGGACCACTTAAAGCAATAAATAAATGCTGAGTATCATTATTATTAATCTTCCTGTGCCTCGGTTCCCCATTTGTAAACTCTCACCTAGTGCGTTTTGACTCCTGTTTACCCACGGAGCTGCGCCCAAGGAGGTCTCAGTTGAGACGAGCTCTTCAGCTTCTGCCACTTGTAACCATGGCCCACTTGCAAAAGACCCTGGAAGTGCTGAGAAGCTAAAGTTTTGATGTCTTGGAGGGTTTAAACCTATTGATGATGCAGATTATGACCAGTGTTGTGTTTTCATGTCATTGTTGCAGAAGAAAGCAAAGCTACTGACCCACTGGGTGCAAACACACCACTGTGTATGCACTCTTCTGGTGACCTGAGGCTTCCCCAGTGTCTTCTCTGGTCATGGGCCCTCTCTGTCATACGCCTGAAGTCCAATTCTTTCTTTTTTCAGATATTTACACTTTCTGGTGTCAAGTTTATGGTCTTTATCCGTTGGCTTTAAGCCCATTCATGGTGTAACCATTGACATCTGAACTGATTTCCAAGACAGAGCTGCAAGTGGCCTTACAAACAGTTGTAAGCAACAGTTGTAATTAAAGAGTAGACAGAGCAAACAGAAACCACAATAGCAGCCTGCAGGAGTTACACTGGATCAGCTTTAATGTGGAGAAGCCCTTAGGGCCATATCAGTGCTTACAAGGGCTTGTTGTTGGTTTCATGTCCTCCCATCTCCCTCCCCTCTTCTGAACGGGACAAAACCAACCCTTTTCATTAGGGAAGGCCAAGGAGCTGGTAGTGTAAGAGATGCCACGTGCCTGTTTGACAGTGGCTCAAAGGGCCCTCCTGCAACAGAGATGGGACAGAGCTGATTCATCCCCCTTCCACAAAAGGATCCCCAGGGCAAGAACATCCATGTGGACCCTGAGCATCAGCCATCTCACCGGGGTGGGAGGTGGAACAAGCTGAAGGAGATCAAGACATGGGAGGGTATTGCTAGGGATGGATCCGCTGGCCCCAGAATCCTGAAGGGGTGTTTGCAGCAGAGATTACCTACACCAGGAATTGGCTGCAGGTTAGTTTAATATAACCCACATCCACCCCTTTGCTTCATCTGGATGTGGATCATTTGATGGTTTAGTGCATGCTATTAAACACACTCTGGAAGTAAGTCTGCTCAAATTTGCCTGCAGCAAGAATGAAGCCAATCCCAAGTAGCCATTGAACCTCTGCCAGCTCCTAAGGAGAACCCACACCCTTTTGCTCCTCAGCTGGAAGCAATGGTCTCATCACCTATGTGGTCTCTCCTGCTGTAAGACCTCACAGAATGGACATCACTTTTCCATTTAAAAGGAAGTTCTCAAGCAAATGTGGCCTTTTCTGTGTCTAGGTCCTGGGTGATGTTTTTTGCTGAGAATGGACTCACAGGGCTTTGTCTTCAAGCAAATGCATCCATTGTAGCTGGGAGCACAGCCAAGGTGCTGTGGGAAAGCAAAGGAGTTTGAAATATGTGGTAAGAATGGGAAAGGTAATAATGGGATTTGTGGGGCTGTGGGAACTGGGAACGCTCCTATATGGGATATTTTGGTATTTCCTATCTTTTCCTGCATCCTGGTTTTCCCAGGAGCGTGAGGCATCCCTGCTTTGAACCAGTTCAAAATGTGAAGCTGATTTTCAGACACTTCACAGGGATTCAATTTTTGTTCTGTTCCTGCTGGATTCTATTTATTTTTGCAGTGTCTCCTATTGCCTGTTTCCTCTTTAATTTCCAGCTGATTTCTTATTTGTGGTTCCAGAAAAAGAACTTGGAAGATTAAGGGAGTGCCTTGTAGACGGTATAATTTCACCCACCCCTGCAGTAGCATATGGCTTCTTTCAGGAGAGCAGAGGTGAACCTCCTTTTCCAGCAGCATTGCAGGTTTAGGTTGGTAACCGCTCTTGATTGGTAACCACTGGGTTAGAAGAATAAGAAATGCAAGGTAAAGGGAGCAGACTTCATGAGACCTAAGCCTGTGGATGGAAAGCCGAGTAAAGCCATGGTTTTGTAGCTGGATGCTGATTTGCATGTCTGCTTTGTGCTGCTCTAAGGAGGTGCAACTTTGCTTCTGCACACTTCTTAAAATACAGCGTTGTCAACTTTGCAGCTGGTTCAGAGTGTGGGGAAAGGTTTTGTGGGTTTCACGTCTGTATGCTTATCTGCCTCGTCGAAAGCCTCACTGCCCTCTTACAGTAAAATAAACCCTGTGTCTGGTGGGCCATGTGTCACTTCAGTTCTCCCTGATCCCTTCTTGCTCTCTTAATTTGGCAAAGTTGGTTTCTTGAGCTTGGCTTGTTTGTCAAGTGAAGCATCATACATTGCCTGGAGCCAGGATGAAACTCTTGAAATCAAGCATTTTGCATGCTGCTGCTTTGGAAAGCTCCATTTACTTGGGATGAGTTATTCTGAAGTAATATTTTTCTTTTTTGTTTATTTTCCCTGACAGATCTTCTGCTTCCCCCATGCCCTGTCACATTAAACCATTTATGCTACAAAGTAAGCAGTTTGAGTCTGCCCTTGTGACTTCACTGGAACTGGTTCCTTCTTCCTATCGCACTTCTGCCAGCAAGCGCTTCAGCAAAAGAAATGATAAACTACCCACTGCAGCTACTGCACTTCAGTGCCGAATTGTAAGTGAAATCACATCCTCATTTTAGGTTAATGGTCTGATACATGAATGCTGACAGCTCTCTTTGAGTTCCATCTTGCGCAACGCTGCAGTGTCCAGAGCAAGGTGTGAGTCTGAAGGATAACTCTTCCTTTTCAGCAGTGAGCTCAGCAGCGGTGTGTCTTTCCGCAGAGGCTGTGAGGGTGGTGTCACCACTGAACACAAACACAAGCTGCACCCAGCCAGGCAAGAAAAGCAGATCTTGAAATCCAACCAACTCATGCCTGAGGCCACCTCCTCTGTCTTTCTTCTGTGGGCTGCAAAGAAACATTCCTTAATTCACAAGTGGTGTTTGAAGCATCCTCCAAACGTTAGTTTCATATCACTTGACAGCACTGGAAGTGTTGTGGAACACAAGGCTTCCTTTCTAATGTTGTTTCTGTTCTAGACTACCATATCTGAATGTCTCTTCAATCTATTATCTCTTAAGCAAAGAATTACTCATGGGACTATCCTTTTTTTTTTTTTAATGTCTTGAAGGCAGTCCCTGTTACTCCACAGTATGGAAACCAAGTGGGAAAGTAATCTGTGCAAATTACATGCATGTTTCTGGTTGAATCATGTTCCCTTCACTCATGGTAATGAGTCACTTGGCATAAAGTAGACTGTTACTATGAATGGAGAAAGCATATCAGGGTTCTGCTTCTCAGGAATCATTTCCACTTGCTGAACCTCACTCAGGCTTGGAACCATAAGGGGTGAGATTGTCACTGGTATAGCAGGGGAGAATTGATCCCAGACTCTTTAGCCTTTGATGCGGAGGATAAGGTTCAAGAGCAGTCATCAAAGCTGCCTCATGCAGTTCCTAATTGCTGCCCATGTAGTCTTTTTCCTCTGGGAATACTGAAACTAAACAAAGAACTGACCTCGGTGAAGAGGAAGGCAGAAGTGAATCTTATCCCGTATGCAGCGTCTGAAGCGCACTGCTCAAAATGCAGCCTGCCTAGCCAAGGGACTGATTACTGCACAGTCAGCTGTCTTCTCACAACCAGTCCTGTTTGTATGGAACAGAGCACCCTAAATTACATTGTCACTCTGGAAAATCTCGTTTTCTTGTATTTTTCCCTATATAGTAATCATCCCAATGACCAGATGGTGTAATCTGCTGCGCAGACCGAAAGTAAGGGTGTTGCAGGGCTTGGATTTCCTGCTCACAGGATCATAAGCACTACTGCAAAAGAAACTCCCATGGGCAAAACATGCTATGCTCCCACCCCCTGACCTTACACAGGATTACAATGCTTCTTCTTCACTAGAATACATAATCCTTATTTACTGTAGTGGAAACAGACAACTGACACTGAAGTATTATGACGCCACCAATTGATAGTCAAATGACAGGTTGCAATGTCACTTCCTTACAAGAATAACTATTCCAAATTATAAGGGCAGTGAATTGAAATGCATCCTTTACAACGATGCCTAATCTTATTTTTAAAGCTCCAAGTGATGGTGAGCCCCCTATCTTGTCAAGGTGTTAATTGCCCCTACTGCTAGGGTAGTGCATCTTATTTCAAGTTGTTGGTTTTTTTTTCTTAATCTAATGGCATTGACTTGCTGTGTGACCTTGGATGAGAAGGGATGGATCAGTTGTTTCAGGCTAAATTGATCTTGGAATTTATGTAGTAATATACCCTCTCCAGAGAGCCTCTAGGGTTGTTTTAAAGGGGTGAACCCTGGATGGAGTTTCAGGTTCAGTTCTTATTTTTTGTGTGTGCTTTGTGGGTGTTTGTTTGCATTGCCATTAGCTTAAGGTTTACATTTTGTTAGCAGGTGACCTGAGCTCTGTCTGTGCAATGGCAGCTACCATGCTTGATCCGGCCTGTGCCTCCTTTCCGAGGCAGTACTGCTTCCAGACTTTTAGGAGGAGCAGTGAGGATGAATCTCTGCGTGCTTTTGCAGTTGTCATGCCATGGTAAGCACAAAAGACAATAAATGCCACAGTCACGGTTTCACCAAAGCTGTATGCTGGTTAGAATACTGGCTGAGAAGAAATAAATACAGTCTGAATGACAGCCCAGGTGAACCGTCACACATCTGTCATCAGAGTAGCATTTAACTAATTAGGAGATAAACGACGATGCCATTAAGAGTATATTGAGACCAGGCAGAAATGTACCAGTGTTGATGGAAATCACATAAAATAACAGTCACTGAAATAGCTTGTCAGGTCTACACTGTTTTCAGTGTGTTACTTAACATAGGGGAGCCCCATAGCTTTAAAGAACCATCTTTCTACCCTGATCTAGACAAATTACCTTTGTACCTTGATCTAAACAAACTCTGATCTCTCTGCTGCCATTGAACTCACCTTGTCTGAAACCTAATCTGACTACTTTATTCTACCTCTGTGCTGGGAATTCACTCTATCATTAGCATTTCAATCTATTTAATTCACTGAGGGTCGCTGAGCAATGTAACCGAATCCATGCTAAGCTACCACTGGCAATTTAGCTGTCAGATAGTCTCACCTGCTATTTTTAGTTGCACTTAAATGCTTTGCTTAAGGGGTGCACACTGAATTTCTGGATTAGCTTCCCCCTGACCCCTCTATTGTATCACTGTCAGTCATCTTTGAGTTAGAGTCCTGGTTACATTGTTCTATTATACTAATTACAGCTTGTCAAAGGTACGGACAGTGTTCTTGGACACTTGTCTACAGGCCTGTGACTCTTGGGATTAAGCCCTTGTGTTTAGAGCCACAAGTAGTCTTCATCTCTGCAGTAAAGAAAGTCTTTGCTAAACCCAGCTTTTTTAAATTGCAAAGCCAACACCTCCAGAACTTAAGACCTTATGCTTTAGGCTAGTTGGTCATTCTCACTTTTGGCTCACCATAAGGTGCTTTATAGGGCCTGATCCTTATGTTTGGGTAGGGGAGGAATAGCACTGCCAAGGTTCATGCTTTCAGAGGCAGGGGGGTAGGATAAGGCATGCAGCTGTATGGTTTCTGTTTGAATTATTTCAAGCAGCTGTGCTCCTTGGCCTTCTGTGTCTTTCACTTCTCTCTTGCACAGATTCCACTGCATCTTATTCTTGTGTTTACTCTCTCCTGCCACACAGCTCTCTATGAGCTCTATGTTCTAATGACCTTCCTAGCAAGCGCATATGCTGTGGCATATATTTAGTTCTGAACCAGCTTATGGCTCTTCTTAGGTGCAATTCAGGGCAGGAAGCAATTTGTTCTTGTTAACTAAGCTGTGTACACTCTGCTTGCATTGGCTACAGTTTGGTTGCCTGTTGAACCTGCTTTAGCCTCTATATTTGAGTCATCTTGAAGTATAATTAAGAAATTAAGCAGACAATGGTAAACCACATGTACATAGGCAGAAAGCAGGATTTCTTGGACGTAAAACAGGCAGGCTGGACATTTATGTTGTAACATTCATCAGTAAGCTTACTAAATGATAGCCTTTCACTGATTATTTCTCTTGCCCTTTGGAGATCAGATTTCTTTTTCACCTTTTCAAATGAAGTTGCAAGCTTCTCTGAAGTCAATAATTCAACTTTATGGGAAAGAGAGAGATTACAGCCCTTTAGGGTAAATGCAGGATGGTGATAGCATATAACAGAATATCTGACTATAAGGTCAGAGGCTTGGCTTCACTAGCTCTATTGCAGATCTGCCCTGTGACTTTGTGGTCATTTCTCTTACCTTCTCCAGGCTTCAGCTACCATCCAGCCTTTGAGTTCTGGTGCTGTAATGGATGCTCAGCACCTGCACCAACTGAGCTGCCAGTGTGGGGCTGAGCAAGGCTGCTTTGGGGGTTGGAGCTCTGAGGTAAGCAATACAAGACTGCCTTCCTTCCTCTGATTCCAGCTCTACCTGCCACTGCGCAAATATCTTCCTGTGCAAGTGCTGTGCAAAGATGAGTAAAGAGTTGTGTCTGCTCCCTAGGAGGATCATTGCTGGGGATGAAACCAGAACGTTCATCAGGAGCCTCAGTAATATCCAATTCAGATTGCTGATGAATACATCCTGACTTTGGGCACATACCTCCTGTTAATACTAATGGGAATGTCACACATGAATGCTGGAGAATATTGCCCATTATTTTTGGTCCCAGAGCTCTGAGCTGAGAGATTCCCTGAGAAAAATGGCCATTTGCTGTATGTTGCAGGCTGCAATTCATTACATACAGTGCATGGTGGCTGTTATTTACCTTACAGAACTGTAATGTGATAAGGAGTCTATGTAAGCCACTTAATGGTCTGTCTACCTTAAAGAAAATGTGTACCTGATCAGTATCTGATTTATGCCACTTTCATCCCAGTGCAACTCTATTGGCTTCAGTGGTGTTAGCGCTGATTTATGCTAGTCCTAGTTGAACTTCATGAGTTTATGTACTTTATATGACACATGTACAAGAGGAAAATGTAGTCTAATAAAATACCTGGCTGTGGATCGTAGCTCAAGGTTCTTTGCAGTCCCGTTAACAGGGGTGCTACAAAACCATGTTCTGCTCCTCTGCAGTGCCTATATATTTCAAGGAGTTCTATCCTGTATCTATAGAGATGTTACTTAATGGTCTTATACTTGACTAACATGCTGCCTTCTTGGCATGGTGGAGTGTTAGAGCTACCAGCAGGCACAGTAAACCTGTAGGATGAGAATAAGAAATTGACTGGTAATTGGGACATTTTTATTTTGTACTTGGCAGACCAAGTTCCCTGCCTAAAACCAAACAAACTTCCCACAGATTATGTCTCTTCGCTCTGAAAACAACTGTTCTTATCGCAATCGTCTAGCTGCATCAGCACTTCTTTTCTAGCTTTGGGGTGGGAAAGCAGTCCATTTATGATGTTTATATTGCAGTAAGAGCCAGGGCACGGTCTTAGATGCAGGACTCCTTGTTCTACAAAGTATGTAAACAGACCGGGAAACTGCTCCCCATCCTGATGATCCTGTGCTCCCGTTCATGAAGGCCTCTCTGATAACTGTGGCAGCTTTTATCACATGGCCTTGTCTGCACGGGAAGGGATCCTTCCTCATATCTCTGGAGCTGGAGCATCAGTCTGAGGTTGCTGGAGAGAGATCCATTACCACCGCTGGATTCCAGGTCAGCTCACCTGGTACTGGATTCTCTGGTGCATCTGGGTGCTGATGGTCAGATTTAACACCCCAGACCCCTCTGGAGTTGATCCTTGTTTCCTTCACCATCTTTCCTTATAAACATTACCTGCTTTCCTGTTAAGCTCTCAAGCACATTTTCATCTAGTGAATAGGAGTTGCTGGTACACTCAGGTGTCAGGTGTAAAATACAGAGGCTGGCTCAAGTGCTTGGGGAAAATGGCAATCCCTCTTTGGGATTCGCCCTGCACTGCAGAGACAGTGTGATACATACTTAAGTTCCAGAGAGATGCACCTTGGAGACCTCAGTAATCCTAATCCAGTATCCTAGTTTGCCCAGGTTTGTGGATAGCTTTTGTTGAGCAGCGTGGCGGTAAACTGAGATACTTTCATGTTGTGTTGCAGTATTTCACTTCATATTGGCTTGATCCATTAAAAAACATAGTAAGTAAAGCTGCCAAGTTCTTAAAATGCACTTTTTTTTTTGCACTGTAAAGCAGAAAGCTGCAGGGTTGCTCTGCCTCTACACAGCTGTAGTTCATGCTTCTGCTCTCAAAAGGGGTTTGCTTGCCCTTGATGCACATATGCAAGTTCCATTAGGTTAAGAGGACCTTAATGCAGGGAGGTTTAGATTGGATATTAGTAAAAACGTCTTTATCAGAGGAGCTGTCAAGCATTGGAATGGGCTGCCCAGGGAAGTGGTTGAGTTGCCATCCGTGGAGGTATTTAAAAGATGTGCACATGTGGCACTTGGGGATATGGCTTAGTGATGCACTTGGCAGTGCTGGGTTAACACTTGGACTCTATCTTAAAGGTCTTTTCTAACCTAAACAATCCTATGATTCTATGATTAGCTGAGGCTGAATTCCCTAAATGCTGCCTTCAGTTCTAAAGCCAAGAGCTGGTCCCTGCCTCTGCAGCTGATTAGCTTCTCACCGCCCAGAGCTGCTCTCCCTCCTCTCTGGCCACACAGCAGCCAAACATGGCTTTTGTCAGGGCTGGGGCACTGCAGTTGCCCTCCCATAAGGCAGGCTGAGGGCAGTGCACAGGGGTGGCTGGTGGGAGGTGTCCAGCTTCCGTGGAAAAGTACCAGAGGAAAGAGATTCCTAAGCAAGGGATGTTTTCTGCTCAGCTGACACTGTAATGAGCTCAAGTCCCTGGGTGGAGAAAAGAAGGGTGACAGGAGGAGATGGGGAGATGGGAGTGGAACAACTTGTTTCAGGCAACAAATCAGTTGCTAACTGTAATTCAAAGCCATTTGCATAGATGAAGTTGGCCCGGGGTGGGTTGGAAATACAAGGCATTCTGTAGACAGCTGCCTGAGGGAATGCTAATTAGCTGGCAAGCAATTAATAATTAATCAGACTTTTGTTCATTGTGAAGACAGTGTTTTCTTTGGCAGCTTCATAATGTTCCGAGTTTGCCTTGCTTTTCTTCCACAGGCTGATATCATCGTGCTGGAACTAGGCTTTGCGGGGACATGCTTCTCACTCCCTCTGGCATCCAGCTCACCCTGTCCACATGTGGAGCCCAGGCCACGACCTCAGCACTTGGCTGGGCTCTGACAGCCCATTTAACAGTCAACGGCTGGAAAGGGAGTTGCTGGTGTGCTATTTTTAGCCAGCTGGACAGTTAAATAATTCAGATGCAGACACACACAGCGGTCTGGGCTGTGCCTGAGATTTGAGAGGGGAAAAGAGCAGTGGATCGCCCCTGCTAGGCTTGCTTGACCTTATCAAGCACAGGTTCCCAGGCTCTTTAACAGCAATACGAACAAACCCCAAGCCTCCAGGAGTGAAATCCCTGCCTCACTGATGTCGGTGGGATTCCTAGCTGTGACTGTGATGGAGTTCGAATCACACCCCAGGGCAAGGTATGCACTGTTCAGTATTTCCATGCTTTCTAATGCTTCAGAACCCTTTTTTTTCCATGACAATAAAACCCAGTTATGGTGTGACCAGGAGTCCAGAATGGGGAATGTCAAAACTTCTGGGGGAAAATAAGCGTAACTTCTCTTTAGAAACAGGATGCTCCGTGTATGGCTACTCCCCTCCATTTCAGACTAAGAAGGAAGTTGCACAGAAAGACAGTTCATCCCTTCTTTCCAGCTCAATCCTCTCCCCAGCTGTCCTGTGGAGTGGTTCACAGCTCATCGAAAAGCCATCCATCTCACACACGGGTGTCTCTGAGAGCACATAGCCATGCTCTTCCCACCAAATAGACTTCATCTGGAGTACCAGAGGCAATGCTTCCAGAGAAAGCACGGAGCAGTGGTTTGGTTCTGAAGGAGAGTGAGCATTTACACCTGGAGTTGTTCTGTAGAGCAACAGAGGTGTCTGTGTTACTGAAGGGCAAACAAAACCAGTGGTCACCTGCTCCAGTTTGGGCAACTGGGCATTTTCTAGTTTCTGGTCAATAAACAGTTGGAGCTATTCACCTCTTTAACTTGTTAAGGAGACATACATTGCCCTGGATGGGATTTTTCCACTGTGGAGCTGAAATGAGAAGATTTACTACCATTGAAAATTGATTTGAACATAAATTACCTAGCCTGGTCTGCAGATGCTTTTACGAGTATTACACTCAAATTTCATGATACCAGTGTGGAGTAGGGTGATACTATCCTTGTCTGACAGATGGGGCAGTGCTGGAACAGTCTATAATAATTCACCTGCCCATGTACCCAGGAAGTCTTTGATCCAGGAACTGTGTGAGTGAAAGACCTTGAACTTCTATAAATAAGCCCATTTCTTGCTCTTTTCCTCCCAGTCTGTTTGCCTTCGCCCATGGATAATGCTCACTGTTTCCAACAGAGACACAGTTTATTGTTAATTCCAAGCAAATCTGATTTGGGGGTGGGCTCAGCCTTGGCCAGCTGTGGGTCCATCTTGGAGCTGGCTGGCATCGACTCTGTTGCATATAGGGGAAGCTTCTAGCAGTTTCTCACAGAAGCCACCTCTTTAACTCCCCTGCTACCAAACCCTTGCCACACAAACCCAATATACTTGTTCATCACAGAAAAAGCACAAACTCGGTCTGTTAGGCATGAGGGAATCCACAGAGGAGCTCAACTTTGAAAGATAAATGCACAACAAACCAGGCTTCACTGATTCTGCTGTTAAGAGGACTGCTTGTTTCCTTTGATTCCTGTATGTTAGCTCAGCTGTGTTTTGGGACTGAACAAGATCTTTCCACTAGTTCAATTTCAAGCACGTGGTAAATGACTTCGTGCCTGAAGCACCTGAGGTTCCCGGGTGGTCTCTGTGCAGAGACCAGGGCTGCTTCTGCTGCTGAGCAAAGGCAAAGCGTGGCTCCTTGCTCTGCTATAGTCAGTGCCCACTGTGTCACTGGGAAGCTGGTTGACATGAGGAGGAGGTTATGAGTCCCTTGTGGATTCCAGGTTTGAGGTTCTCCCTGTGTCTCCAGCTCCCAAACCATGACAAGGTTTTTTAATGGGGGCGTGTGAAGTCTCCTTAAAAGAATGTGGCTTGTGAGGATCCTCGGTGGCTTTAATGAATCACTTGTGGCCAGGGTGACTCAGCCAAACCCTGCTGGCAGCCAGCAGCTGCTCAGAGGAGGCTTGCTGAAGGCAGAGGCTTGATAGCATTTGTGCTAAGAGTATAGCATTTTCTAATGGCCAGCTGTGACCCGTGCGAGGTCTGTGTGTTTCTGAAAGCCCATTAGTGGAACACCAGTCAGGAAAGTGAATTTGGCATCAGAGGTGCCTTTTGCTAGCCAAAAGCATAGGCAAGTGGATGGGAAGGCTGGACACCCAGAATTCCGATTTGCAAATGGAATTGATAGAGCACCTAAAAATGGGACCCTGGGTTTACCAAATCCCACTTATTTTTCTGCAGCTGCATGATGTCTATCTGTCCTTTCTTCCAGGCTGTGAGAGGTTATTCCCCTGGGAGGCAAAAGCCCTGCTTGTTTTAGAGTGCATGCAAAATAGGATGCTATGCCCTGTACAGTGCAGAAGTTCAATTTTCAGATAATATGGAATGGGGATGTCTTATCTAATACTGCTGACAGACTCTCCCGAGAGTCCACACAGCAAAATTCACCTGCTTAGTACAGTGAATTTAAATCACCAGAGCCACACAGGCAAAATTCTCCTGTGCAGAACCTCATTCCAGACTAAAGTCCTTGAGTAATTATTCTGTAATAAAGTCACTTAAACTTTAGAATAGAGCGTCCATGTGGAGAAGTTATACAGGCACAGCTATAACAGGATAATTATTTTGTTATAGCTATGCCAGTCAATTTCTCAAGGCCTCAGTCACATGGGAAAGGTGAAATGATGTATTTTTTACAGTCTCCAGCAATTCTGTACCTTTTAATGTCCATTAGTGCTCAGCTAATGCTGAATGAGAGTGGAAATTCTCCAGGACAAAGACTGGGCTCACAGTTTCCTCGTGGTTATCAAAGGAATCTGGATCTATCCCATTAAAGCTGATATGTAACGAATTGCTCATGATTGGGGGTTTAGAGCTGAATTTTCTGGAAATTATGAAGCTACTGTTCGCTAAATTCAACTGAAACAGCTGAAACCCAGAAATTTGCAGAAAAAGCCCTTATTTATATGTTAAGAATCAAAATTTTTGAAGAGAATACACTGAAACAGAACGAGGATACAAAATTCCCTTATTCCCACACAGTATTGGAGGTTTGGTATTTCAACATAGGATTTTATGACTAAGCTTACCAATTTTGGGGGTGTCTGAAATAGTTTAGTTCCTCGGTAAGTTATTGCAAGATATGTGCATTATGAATCATTACTACTTGTGGTGGAAATAGTACTTTAGGATAAAACTGCACCTGTCAGAGGACAATGACATATATGAGATTTCTAGAGATACGCCTGAGCTAGCTTGAGTCTGGAGACTAAAGCAGGGTAGGAACTCAGAGCCTGGCCCCCTCAGAGCTGTCTGCTGACATGCTAGATGTAACAAACAGGTGCCAACTGAATTTGTTGCAGTCATATTCAAATCTATATTGATGAGTTACCAGAACAGGAAAGGCAAAAAACCTCAGCGCACATGAATTCACTGTGTGGGTCCTGCTTGCCAGCCTGGGCACACAGCAAGCTACTTGGAGACCTAAGGAACCAGACTGGATGGGTTCTTAATTGAAAGTGTGACTCAAAATGAAACCTGCCTATGGTTGTCAGCTCTCTTACAGCAAAATGTTGACTACATGTACAGCTTCTCCCTTCCTAGAAAAGGAAATAGGGTTGGTTTTGAGGTAAAGGATGCCATCTCGCATGTCTATGTGGATGTGTCAGCTGGGATGTACAAGAGGACAAGAACTGAGCGTGGGCTGTAAGGCCACATATTGCATGGGCACTTGGGTAGTTGGACCACTGCTCCTATTTCTTTTGGCCCCAGGTCTCCCTGAGCACAGACTGTTGGATACCAAGGATGCTCCTTTGCCATCCTCTCCCAGTATCCCTATGCCTGAAGGGAAAATGCTTTCCTGACTCCAGCGTTTCTTGCTGTCTTGTGAGCCCTATTAGAACATGTAGGGCAAAACCACACAGTTTTGATTTCACTTTACCTCCATGTACTCATCTTTGACTGTGTATCTAAGTTTGGGGTTTGTACATGTGGCTGGAGGGGAAGGTCTGTTTTGCAGTGTATGGGCACAAGGATAAAGAAAGGACATCTGTTTCCAGGGGTTCAATGCAAAGGCTTAATCATGTTTCAGAATGACTGGAGTTACAAACTGATGGGGCATTTAAAATGTTATCTGGTTCCAAACATCAAGTGTTCAAATTTTGCCTTAAGGGGACATTAGCTGATTATCAAATCACAATGAGATTCTTATAACTTCATTTTAATAAACAGTTTTCATAAATGTTAACATTTTAATGGATGATTACATTCATATTTAGCTAGCAGATGCATTCATTTTGATTGATGTTATTTCCATGAGTACCAAAGGAATTAAATAATGATTTGTCACTTATGGTAAAGAGCTGCTCAGATATCTTTTAAATAAACAACTTTATTTGTAGTGTTTGATCAGACGGCGATGCAGAACTGCAGCATGCTGCGGCGCAGCAGTGACTGGGTAGGTGCTGTGCGGCATCACACCATGCTTTTCCACCTGGCTGCATCTCATACGGTTGGCAGGCAGCTTGCCAACAGAGGCCCTAAACCCAACACCCGAAGCATGTAGAGGGTAGATTTAGGTTAGGTATTAAAAAGTTCTTCCCTGTGAGGGTGCTGAGGCGCTGGCACAGGGTGCCCAGAGAGGCTGTGGCTGCCCCATCCCTGGCAGTGTTCAAGGCCAGGTTGGACACAGGGGCTTGGAGCAAGCTGCTCAGTGGAAGGTGTCCATGCCCGTGGCAGGGGTTGGAGCTGGGTGAGCTTTAAGGTCCCCTCCAACCCAAACCGTTCCACGTGGGGCACAGAGGGGATCAAGGCGAACCTCCCCTCTGCCTTTCATGGCTCCCATTATCCTTCGCCCTGGCCCGGGGCCGCGGGGGCAGGGGTGTGCCGGCGGCCACGCACGGTGCATACAGCGCAGAGCAGTGCAGTGCTCTGTCCCCCTCTTGCGGCAGGCGAGCCGGAAGCGGCTTCGGCCAGCGGGCGGCTGGGCCGGGGGCTGCGGTAGGGAGCCCGCCGGGGGGGATGGATGCTGGTGCGGGCAGGGCGGGGTGGTTGTACAGCATCCCAACCGGGGTGCTTCTGCCACCAGGGCCCTCCCAGCCCGGGCTCTTCCCCGGGTGCTCCCTGCACCCCGCCCGCCCTCAGCTGTTGACCCCGGCAGTTAACGCTCATCAGCGCTAATGACCAAGCCTATGGTCATCAGCGCGAGCTAACGAGCTAGCTGGCGGCACGTGCGGCCATCGCCCGCCCTGCCCGGCTCCCTTCGGAGCGATGGCAGGCACAGATCTTTCCAGAAGGAAGCAGCGCAGCACGGCTGGGGTTCGCTTTGCTCTGTGGTGAAGAGTGGAAGTGCTGAGGGATGCGCATCCGGGCCGGAGCTGGCGCTGGACGAGGCCCGCGTTTTCCTTTGGGATAGAGATGAGCAGAGGCCCGGTGGCAGTGAGGACTGGAGGTACGTCGGAGGCCCGGGGTGCTCGGCCCCGCTCCGCAGGGGAAGGGATGGATGGGCTCTAGGCGACTGTTGGGCTGGTGTTGGCGGTGCTTCACGGGGGATCTGAGGCTTTGCTGCGCCGTCTTTGAGCTGGGATGGCGAACGAAGCCCTGTGTTAGGAGCTGGCCGCTTTATTCGGTGTCAGTTCTCGGTGGCTGGCTTTTGGGTGGCTCACCCGGAGAGCCTGCTGGAGTTCTGTCCTTCTGCAGTTACTGCTGACCGAGCTTTTCCTGAGAGACCTTTGGTATCCTGTAGATCTTTGGTTGCTCCTGCCTGCCTGCAGAGTGAGGAGAGATGCTGCCTCTGTAAGAGGCACAATTAAGCCAGTGTGG